GCGGAACAGGAGTTTCTGTTTCCTGTAACCGGCCGGACTGACAGGAAGTGCACACTCAGTGTGCATCTTCCTATCACTCCGGCCGGCCACCGCGGACCAGCAAGCAGCTCGGCCACGCTACAGGGGAGGGGAAAGGAGGGGAGAAGCTGCAGCCGCCTGAGGCTCTTAACAGAGCGCTCAGGCAGCTGCAGTATTTAAAGGGCCGGGCCGCTGCGGCCGGCCTTACAGGAATTTAGGGCGGCCTGGGGGGCAATTGCCTCCCTGCCCCCCGGCCCAGCCCGCCCCTGTATAGATCTCACCTGATCAATTACATTAAGCTGTAGTTGTTCAGGTGACTATAGTGTCCCTTTAAGTTCTCTTACTTTTTGAGTAGGCATAGAGACCAGATTAGTTCACCCCTTACTTCCTCTGACACCACATGGGAAAAGTATCCATACATCCAAAATTAGCTTTCAATCACAATAATTTAGAAGGGTCCTTCATGACTGTTGAATACACGGAAAAAGTGATTCATTGTTGACGGTAACCACTTGATTTGCTCTTACATTAACAACTTAATGGAAATATTTGGTAAAAATTTAGATCCTAATCGCTTCTACCGCAGATCACTTGTCATTTAAAGGAACACTCCAACCACCGTAACCACTACAGTTCACTGCAGTAAGTTGATCGCACTCAGAAATAGAGCTAGCCATGTACTGCAGGGTTGGCTCAGGAGCACTAGCAGACATGCCATCTTAGGAACTTCTTGCTCTCAAGCACAATAGATCTTAAGAGTCTTCTTACCTAAAACATTTTGACTACTTACAGTGGAGGAGCGCCAGGGAGAACAATTATCATTAAACATTTGAACTGAGCTCCAGTTGTATATGCTACTGCTGCTATACATGTTAAACAGGCACCAAGACTCTACAGATTTTTTTTTATGTTCCTCACCCACGCTCCAATCAAAACTATATACTGATGTTTTTTTAAAATCTCATTCAAACAATATTGTTTAAGTTAGACAATATAAAATGTAAAACAGTTTATGTGTGAGCTGATCCTTAATCTATATGTTTTATCTTAGACGTGATGTTGATTTATTGCAAAAAAAGGCTAATTAAAAAACTATAAAATCTGTTGCTTTGATCTAATCATTATAACTGAACACATTTTATCATAATAACATTAACATATAATAATGTATACTTCTAGAACTATGATAAAAGAAAAAAAAATGTGCACTGCACAGTACGTATAGAGTTTCATATCTATTTCTTGGTCTGGTTAAACATGCCATCAAAAGACCCTCTTATGGGCTCTTACAATGTTAAATAGACATTAGTTGTAATGCATTATGTCATTTCAAGTGCTGGGGGCATTGTTTCTCTCCCTCTTCCTACAGCCTGATCTATCAATACATAACCTGTAAATCAAGACTAGCCAGAAAAGTTTCCTATACACTATAGCCTGTTAGGTTAGACACTACTCAGTGGTTGCATGCCTCACAGTTAACTGACTTCCTTCCAATTCACATAGACTGAGCAACACCCTAAACAGATGAAAAGCTACCAATTTCACTGGTAAGTCTGCATTTATAATCTGATTTTAAACTGTATTGTTCGGGACATGGCATAATGTTAATCCTCCAAAATACACAGATTTTAAATTTTTTATATAATTGAAGTGATCTGTAATGACTATCAAAGAAACATTAAAATTAAATGACAGACTTCTTACACACGAATGTGCTCAGAATGCAAAGAATTGAACATTCAGTGCAAGATTATTTGGGCCAGTTATTCTCAGCAGATAAAATGTACGTTTGTGTAACTTGGTAAAGTGTAACAGAAATGATCAGATTATGATGTAGCTATCATAAATGAAACTTCTAATAAATTGTATGTCTTTAAAAGGAATATTATACTAGCAATTTATGATTTTCTGGTTCTTTGACAATGTCATAGTAATATATTGAAAGAGCATTAGAGAAATCATATTTTCAAATACACGGAATGCATTCTTGCCTAGTCAGAAATTCACTTACAGCCTTGCGGTGCATTAAATACATAACATAGAAACATTGAATGTGACGGCAGATAAGAACCATTCGGCCCATCTAGTCTGCCCAATTTTCTAATACTTTCATTAGTCCCTGGCCTTATCTTATAGTTAGGATAGCCTTATGCCTATCCCACGCATGCTTAAACTCCTTTACTGTGTTAACCTCTACCACTTCAGCTGGAAGGCTATTCCATGCATCCACTACCCTCTCAGTAAAGTAATACTTCCTGATATTATTTTTAAACCTAATTTAAGACTATGTCCTCTTGTTGTGGTAGTTTATCTTCTTTTAAATATGGTCTCCTCCTTTATTGTGTTGATTCCTGTTTATGTATTTAAATGTTTCTATCATATCCCCCTGTCTCGTCTTTCCTCCAAGCTATACATGTTAAGATCATTTAACCTTTCCTGGTAAGTTTTATCCTGCAATCCATGGACCAGTTTAGTAGCCCTTCTCTGAACTCTCTCTAAAGTATCAATATCCTTCTGAAGATACGGTCTCCAGTACTGTGTACAATACTACAAGTGAGGTCTCACCAGTGTGCTGTACAATGGCATGGGCACTTCCCTCTTTCTACTGCTAATACCTCTCCCTATACAACCAAGCATTCTGCTAGCATTTCCTGCTGCTCTATTACAAACAAGAGTCCTGCGCATCTAGTATAGGTGTGCAAATCCAGGTGCTACGACAATCGATTTGAGGATAATGTTAAAGCAGCAAACGCTTCAGGTAGCAGCCCATTCTCAATTCTCATCAGCATTGAGAAAGGGCTGCTGCCAGAAATGTTTGCTGCTTCAAATTGGTCCTCAAATAATTTGTGGTAGCACCTGGGTGTGCACACCTATACTGGATGCGCAGGACTCTTGTTTGTTTTTTGGTTGAATATAGACTGTTGGGACTTCAGTGTGGAGTATCTGCAGCACAGGTCTAATTTACTTTGTTTATACTTTGCATTTTGTAGGCATTTTTTGCCTCTACCTCACCCTATATATAGTGTGCATTAAATACATACTACTAAGACAATAACAAGTTTAAGACTGGTGGCATTTATTATGATATTGGGGAGTATGTTTGGTTGGATTTTTTTTTTTAAATAAGGCAGATAATGAAATGGTTGAAAAACAAAGGAAAAAATATTATGGCTGTCAAATATAAAAGTGTCACTTGCCCATCATTTTTATTTTATCTACTTAATTTAATAATGATATCAAAAAAGGAATGCATGTCAAACTAAAAGGTATCTGCCCTTATTTTTTCTATTATCCTTTTTGACATAATGTACTGTGATAATGTCATAGATAGCACTTTCTCAGTCAGTGCAAAACACTAAAGTGTTCTTTTAATGCAAAAAACAATATTATCACTTAAATATTTGTACTACAACTGCTCATAACTCTCCAAAAATCAATAGAAAACAAAATCATAAATTTGTTGGAGAAAAGGCAGCAACAATCTGGCGACATGTTCTATGTTCTATAAGTGTTTACCAATTATTACTGCTAATTGTTAAGTAATGTTTTATTCACCTGATATGGTCTTTATGTAGTCTTTGTTTTTTTTAAAAGATACAAGATAGCATATACCGCACAGGAAATGTGTAATTCCCGATAGAGCATTAATTGCAAGACAAAATTTAAGGTTCTGTCAATTACGTGTTTGGCGTCTAGTTAAAGAATAGTTTATATCTATTGTTATGCTAAATAAGTTGGCTAAAAGAAAGTGTCCATGATCTTTAGTGCATTGGACATTGTGAGCCCTTTCCTGTTTTCCCTTTCCTGTTGTTTAGATCTTTTTATTGTCTATAGTCTAGTGTTTTTGTTAAGCTTATTTGAAGTTATGTATTATACGCACATGAAAAGGACGAAGCATCAATTGGTGAAGCATTAACATATTTTGAATCAATAAAACAATATTGCTTATGACACTTACTTTACTATAACAGTTTCATATTAACTATAAAATGTGAACAAGTGCTTTCACTCCCTTTAACACCCATATGTCTCACACTTTATATTCTTTGCACTTTTCTCTAAAGACAAGATGACCCAAATGTCCTTATATAGTATAAATATACATATCTACATTGTGTATATTTTTCAAAATATCTTTGTGAAATACCCACAGGACATATTTAAAACTAACAAAGAAATTAAAATACAAGAGCCTGCAAGAGTTTATTCACAAATAGAGATGTCGCGAACCGTCCGCGAACTTCTCGCGAACGGTTCGCCACGGTTCGCCACGAACCGTTCGTGGCGAACTCCGGTCAGCTGACACATCCCGGCCAATCTCCAGCAGACCCTCCCTCCCAGACCCTCCCACCTCCTGGACAGCATCCATGTTGAAGCTGCGGACGGTTCGCGACATCTCTATTCACAAACACAGATTTGTTGTTGACAGATGTAGTGTACAATTTATTTTAACAGGGTTATTCACTAATTTGAGGATAAAATAGCCAAACTTAACGCAAAGTTGAACTGGAGAATATTTCAGATTTAGCAATTCTGTTTTATAATTCCACATTCCCTTTTAGTTAACTTTATTCCTTGTAATCCACACTTTAGTAAATAACAATGTAAGCTAGTCAAGCTGTGGGTGTAGCTGAGTTGGAAAAACTGATTTAACAGCGTAGCATACCTAGCCAGCCTCCACGTCGAATCACTTCAATTTTGGAGAGGGCTAATCTTGTTTGAACGTTGTCGTAAATTTTTTTTTGCAAATCCTCTGATTCCAGTGAAGGTTGCTAACACCTCCACAGTATTTTATGGTTTCCATAAGAGATTCCTATGGCAGGCAGCTGTGTGTAATACTTGTGATCAAGTTTATTTGCACATACCATTCTAGTGATTGTAAGCACAGGTTGTTGGACATTATGCTTGTCATGGTAGAATTTATTCTTTATACTGCATATTTAATAAACGTTTGAGCGTTTTTTTGACGAATCCATCTTATCTGCACTGAATTCTGTTAGCAGGCTACTATTTGAATAAATTGTGTTTAGCTCAAACGTCTGGTCAGAACCTCAAATACATTTTCTAATGTTTTGCTAAAATCAATAGTACCTACACGTGGGCAAGACATAACTCCAAACATTTCACATCGACAAATAGGGACACTTTAGGGGTGCAACTGGGGTATGGCCAGGAGCAGGGCTGTTCTGAGACATTTTAGGTGACTTACTAATAACGATTTATGTAACTGCAATGAATTTTCTAATTTTTTTTTTTTTGCAATTTAAAGACACATTACTGAGTATTATTGCTGTTTTGCTCTCTTATTTACTCACAAACACCAACAATATGTAGTTCCTAGAAAAAGGGACATTAGGATAGAAAATAAGGACATAGGAATCTGTGTCCAAAATAGGGATTGTCCCTTCTAAATAGGGACACTTGACAGATATGAACACGCTCACTACAAAAATGTAGTATAACTCTATTAAGATAACATATAAACACAAGACTCTAACAAACAAAGCCTGATGCTTTAGTCTTGCCATTTTTGTTAGGTCACAACATAATATAATTACTTTTGGTAGTTGGGCATATTGCTAGTATCTCAATTAAGAATGGTGGTTCATTTCTCCCACTGGTCAGTAGTTTCCAGAGAAAGATAACTGCAGAGGGCATGTAAATAATTAGGGTTCTTATGAACTTGCCAACTGGATGCCGGGGATGTCAAACCCTATTGATGAGATCTATGGCACCCACCATCTCAAGTAAATTCTTATCCATTTCAAGACTTCAGTTTTTCCTATGGCTTTTTAAACTCCTCTTTCTTATCAATGCCCCGGGAAGTCCCATTTAACATATCTGGCTTTTGTCATAAGGGTATTAGTAAACACTTTCTCTTTAGTTCTTGGAAATTAATATTAACTAGAAGGGTTTAATGACTGTTGTCAAGAGAAATCTGATTTTTATTCAACAATGGTTTAGATCTCTGCTTTGTATAGATGTTAGGATGGGAAATATAATTATTTGGATGTACATCTATGGAGATGCATATTATGTTTTGTAGGATTTTTAATTAATTGAACTAAAAAATACCTCCTGGCACTGGAGGCTGGATTACAATCATGGATTACGTCGCAATGTCCTGCTCTTGTCCTGCTATGACCTTGAGCAGATGTTAAGGCATTTAATGACAGGCTCTCACTTACATTTTTTGGGCCTAATACTTTTGGTGGCATTAAGGACAAAAAAAAAACCTCTGATATGGTGGACAGGGAAATCCCAAATCTGGATTGTCCTAGTGAATATAGGATTCTTGGTATCTATCCTGAAAACAGATTTTTAGCACATACTAATAGGCAATCAGTTTTTGGCTTACATCTTATTGGCAAAAACAAAGCCTTTGCAGCTAGTTTGTTTTTTGCATTGTAGATGGATGGAGCATCTAGGTCACATCAGCCCTGAAGGGGCAAACTGGGGAGATCCTTTGATCTCCTTGTTCAGATCCAGCCCATGACCTTCGTGGTCCACTGAGCATTTTCCTAGTTTGGCCTGCTTATATACATAATTACATATCAGTAACATGTGATCCATCAAGTGCAACCTCACACACATCTCTGCTTTTTGAATACAAAAAGGGCAAAATGTGGTTGAAAAAAATTGCATTAGATCGATGATTTTTGTTATATGGATCATTTCAATATTACCATTAAGAATTGTTGATTGTATTTCAAATACAGTAACAGTTGTATGATTAGGATATTTTACATTGTCTAGTATCATGTGCTGTTTAGAAATACATAGTATGACAAGCTTTTAAAGTCAGTTCACCATCTGCATACATTCTTATATTTATTAAATAAGGTTTTAGCAAAGTTTTGTCGCAATATATAAAGGGGTGCACAATGACATCACTATATCTATAGAAGTGAAATATGCAGTTAGCTAGATCAACATGTGATTAATTGCTTTGTGTAATAACCAGATAGTTTTCAAGGTTTCAGTGACATGTAGTATTAGAGTATCAACAGAAAAACTATATCAGAAGGTACTATGGAATAAAGTAATCTCAATGCAGCTAAGTGAACTTTAGAATATACAGTAAATTAGTGATGGCAAACCCTTTTTGAGTTTGAGTGCCCAAACTGCAAATGGAAACCATCTTTTTTATCTCAATAAGCCAACACTGCCATTAAATATAAATACAGAAGTCAAGCTGTGTGTGATATGTGGGCTGGGTGTTTATTTTAATTTAATTGCATTAGTAAAAGAAAAAAGAAAACTGCCTCCCCCCCTTTACGTCTTACTTATTTTGCAGTAAGGGGGCCTTACCTGGTGGTCCACCGGGGCTTAATTATTCCCTCATGATCAGTGGGGGTTAACAATAGATACCTTGTCGTCCAATGGTGTCAATGATAAAGCTCTGCTTGTCCAGTGGTCTTAATAATGATTCCCTGGTGGTGCGGTGGTGGAATGCATGGTCTGCACCTCTGCTTGGTGCGGTCCATATTTATCTCTCCTTTTGGTCTGGCTCTTAATGAAAAAGTTAGAATGCAGAGTTGGAATCCTGCCAACCATGCTGACTCCATCATTGAGAGCTAAAACCACAGTATGGTTTGCATTAAGTGGAAGTACAGATCAAGTGCTTCCTCACCGGGCTACCAGGGACTTGAAAAGTAATTTTAGCTCTGTTTTGTAGACAGAGTGCCTTTAATTATTTTTATTTTGTAATATATGTTTTGTTTTTATATTGGTTATATATTTTGTATATGTTGTATTTTACACTCTATCAGTGTTATTCACTTAAGTGAAAAATCAAAATGAATTTCAAATTTAAGGCAAAGTACCTGAACTTAAATCATAACTGACTTTGAGAATGTTTCCAGTTTGGCTAGTTTACCTTGAATTAACCCTGTTAATTTTTTATCTGTATTTATGCAAACTACTATTGAAAGTTGTTTTCACTAAAGCTTCAGAGTACCTAAACCAATAAGACTGTGCAATATGTCCAGATGGTTCCATCAATAATTATCCACCTTGCCTTTATCAGCAACCCTTTAAGTGATGTTTTCTTGCTTGTTTAGAGAAATACAAATTGAGGTATGGAATCCTATTAAATATATAAGAGTTGACCAAAATCACCCACCACGTTGAATCTTATATAGTGAAATAGTACAAGCAGTATTAGTGTAATCAAATAATTAGGGTAGATTTATTGAAATGTTGCCAACACTTTAATTTCAAATTTTTGGTGCAATTTATTAAATCAGTCTCATATTTTAAGCTGTAGCCTTTGTGCTCCCTAACCGTAATCTTTAAATATTTACCGCATTTTAAGTGACACAGCAGATTTATGATTTTTATTTAGTAATTCTATATTTTTGCAGTGCATAAAGAGACAAAGACATATATGCCCACTATGCCCCAACAGCATACACAATTTTAATATCTTACACAGAAAATTAGAGTGGCATACAAGAACAGTGCACAATATTTAAAATGAAATTAAAACGATCAGGCTATGCTTCCATGTCTAGAATACTGGTCGAAGCTGAACGATAATAAGGAGGAAATTAACTAGACAGGAGGAATAATAACAGTAGAAATAACACTGTGCTATGATATGCTGGAATTCAACATTCTTGTTCAAGATGGTAGCAGAGACAACAGGGCTGAAATAGAAATGGTCAATAGATTAACAGTTTTATCTCCAAGGAGGCCTCCCCGGCTAGGGAACTAATAATAATCTATAGCGAGGTCAGTAAAGTAGCGTAAAGATCATAAAGATCAGCAGGGCCACAAATAGTCTGAAATAACTGATGAGTATAGTGAGTGAATCATGTTCCCTATAGCATCATAGACAGAAGGACAGAATTAAAGTAAAGGACTAGGAGCCTCAAGAAGTCTCACCATCCCCTCTTGCCCTATGCCTGCCATGGGCGGTTCACAGTCCAGCAACATGGGGAGATTCTTTAGACTCCACAGTGAAAGTATTTGCCAATGGTGCTGGAGCCACCTTGCCATCGGTCGTCCCATAAGTGTCTCCATCCCCCACGTGAGCCTCAAAGTGGGCCAGGATGAATAGTAGAGTACTGTGGAACATCAGGGTCCTGTTGTAGACAGTAGGATCAACAGATTGTGGTGTAGAGATGGGCCCATCTGCGTCCCTGGAGACACCTGCTAGTGCTTATGCTGGACTGCTGGTATGTTGCACCCGGCTTTCTTGATTTTATAACAGCCCGGTCTTCTCCGCCACTTTCGGGGTCGCCTCTGTTTGAAAGTCAATTGCCGCAGCAGGTTTTAGGGCGGTTGGAACGCGACCCCTGAACAGCAGGATGTTGATGTACTCTGCGCTTCAGCTGCCGGCAGAAATCAGCGAAGAGCTTGTTCAGTATGGTCTCGATGTTGCGTGGTACATAGTTGGGTTTAGGTAATCATGCAGTCTCTGCCATTTTAGGTGTGTTTTAGTTCAGACAGGTAGTTCCAATGGCCTCACCCTGAGGTTTTCTTGATTTTGTAACAGCCCGGTCCTCTCCGCCACTTTTGGGGTCACCTCTGTTTGAAAGTCAATTGCAGCAGCAGGTTTTAGGGCAGTTGGAATGCGACCCCTTCACAGCAGGATGTTGCTATACTCTGCGCTTCAGCTGCCTGCAGAAATCAGCAAAGAGCTTGTCCAGTATGGTCTCGATGTTGGGTGGTACATAGTTAAATTTAGATAATCATGCAGTCTCTGCCATTTTAGGTGTGTCTTAGTTCAGATGGGTAGTTCCAATGGCCTCACCATGAGGTCCTGTCATGACTGGGAAGTCTCCTGAGATTGGACCCGGGATCACCCCCACCAGTCCAAGTGGTCCCCTCGATAGGGACCACTTGTGCACACCTCCGGGATTGGATAACGGCTGACTCTCTGTCAGGATTACAGCACGTAGAATTGTGTAACACAGAGGACTGATACGTAACGTATAACGGACCTTAGAATGGCCAGACTAACATACCAAAGAATAGTCAGAAATAGCCGAGGTCAAGGGATACTGAAAGAGACTCAACGATAAGGAAAAGCCAGGGGTCAGGGATGCCAGAAAACAGGGAAGTCAAAAACAATGCCAAAGTCAAATAACCAGAATCACCAGAATCAATAACGCGCTCTCGAACAACCAAAAGGGAAACAACGACAGGGCACTGAGCAAGAGGAGAACTGGGCCTAAATACCCCGCTTGTGGATCTGATTGGTTGTAACCGGCCTTTGACCCCAAAGGCAGTTAGCAGATTCCTATTTGCATGATTGCTGCTCAGCACAAACCCTCCTGTGGATTGATTGCTGCTCGGCACAACTTTTCCTGTCAGAACAGTAAATGCCATTAATCACATTTTTATGTGCAGATGAATATGTGACACTCTCCCGCCCAATGCGCACCAGGCCACATCTGCCATTGTGGGGCATGCAAGGCCCTGATACTCTGCCAACTGCCAGACAGCATGTCAGGTAAGTCAGGGACTAAAAAAGCACGCATTGTGGAGGAGCTCGCTAGAGATGCGTCTCTCCACCATGACAGTCAGGCCCCGACCCCCGATTTATGAATTTTTATGCTTCTGAAATTATTTTTTTGCCGACAATTGGCAGAATTCGCTGTTAAGAAAACTGTCACTTATCAAGATCACTTTCATAAATACAAGAAAACTAAAACCATAATTTAACTGTCACTTCCTAGAACACTTTGATAAACAGCCCCCATTATGTTTACTGAAAAAGTAAGTTCTAACCAGGCAGTCTGCTGTCTGCTGTTACATACAAAAATAGAGAGCGAGCAGAAGAAAAGTAGGAATAAGTAAATTATCCTAATAGAGTGAGTTTCCCTCTCTCGGGAGAGAAACAGAATGGGAAGAATATAGTAACTAATTCCCAATTTCCCAAGATTATAAAACTTAGCTTTTAATATGGAACTAAATTAAAAGAAAAAAAGAAAATTACGGTTGGTAAGGTAACCCACCTAACTTAATGTGTTAAAAACGGCAGCTATTGGCTACAATGCTGTACAGTAAATGTACTATTGCCAACAGTTATGTGCTCCTAACAGTAATGCAATTTGGTATGACTATGATTACAATACTGTGGATACTCCAAACTGTTAAATCAGCTAAACAATACTTGCTGAAATTTGTTGGAGAATATTTTTTTCTGTACAGCAGTGTAACAAGGGTTGAATTCACAACCTAAGTATCCTTGCTAAAAGTTATAGTTACTTTTGTGACCAACTCAATATACCTTTAGCTGAACTCTTGAAGGTAGGAAAGGATTTCTATGCAAAGTAACCTATAAACGAGCTTTTAAATCTCCTATGGTTAGAGAAATATGCCACTGAGACAGTAAATGGTGATGAAAGTAGTGCATCAGTTTGTGCATTAACCACGCTCAGCTATTAACACTTTCATCACCATTTACTGTCTCAGTGGCAGAGTGTGGGATCAGTTCAAAGAATCTGTTGGACATTGAGAGTTCTTTAAAGCAACTTTGTATGTGTTCTACACTTAATTCTCATGCACAACATCCATAATAAAACATTGAAAACTCACAGGAACATCTCTTCCTCATCATTTAAAGTCATGGACAATATAACAAATTTACAACTATTTGCAGGTAGTGCACTATAGCAGCTGAGAAATAGTTAGGCAATAAATGGACTGTAATAAAACTGGAGAGAAGAGGCAGATTGATTTCAGCTATTTTAAATACACCTCTGAGAGATGGGTGATGGAACACAAGTAGATGCCTATATAAGTGAGAGACCCACACGTTTAGAGGAATAGAATTAAATTAGATGTGCATTTTTATTTCAGACCCAACAAAATGGATCTATGAAAAATTGGTGTCACGAACCCTCAAGATACTGTGATGAATTGGATCTTTTTAACTGAACACATTCTATCAAAGCTACTGAACCCCTGTTTCATCTTGCCATAGTAACTAGATGTTCTACAGTAGTACTAATAGCACAAGTGAGTGAAACATGGAACTGTTAGATCAAAATGTTGCAATATGATCCAATAAAACTGCTTTGTATGTGAACCCTGTGAGTGCCAGAAACCCTTGTATGCTGCTTCAGCTAAAGCATCTTGTAATCTCTGGAAATTGAGTGTGGTCCTTCATCCTTATGTGGTAATGTACTATTTACATGGGGGTCCCTAGTGTGTGATATATATGCCCCCTTTCTCTGTTTCAAACCTTGGTGTCAATCAGTCTTGGACATTACGCATAATGCAGTGCGACTTCTAACCCAACCCAAACGGGGTAAAAAGCCAGTATGAGCAAAGGTCTAAAACAAGTATGGCTAGTTATAACAGGTCATTACAGGTGTCAATCAGAAAAAAAAAACAACAACAAAAAACAGTAATGGGCAAAAGGTTTATGATGAGAGCAATGAGTGTTAAGTAGAAACTAAATTCTGAAATGCAGATGTCGGAGGAGTTCATAAGCAAACTGGTTCCAAACAATATTGCAAACTGTATAGAGCTACTGCTAACAAGCTAGTAAAGAGACTATGCATGTGTGCCCACCCAGACATAGTGGCCCTATAAAAGCCTCATGCAGCTCAGGTACTGCAGCTAATTGTAAGAGGAAGACATTTGTGTACTTGTCTATATGCACAAACGTTCACTGGACTGTAGTCAAATGTGTTGTGTATATTTGTGCAAAGCATTGTCTTTACAAACTTCCACTAGGGCTTTAAGTTAGTATCATGAGCAGAGAGACAATACATACACAGAGAAACAGCTTGTCATGTAGATGGTGCGGCTTGTGACAAATATATGGTACAAACAGAAAACTATAAAATAAAAGCTACATAATGTGCTAATGAATTACTACTATCTGACATTAAAATATGGATTTCTAAACATTGGAGATGGTCCTGCGCTGAATACAAACAAATAGAGTCATGAGTATAGGAAGCAGGGGGAATAGGGAGGATGAAGCCAGTAAATCTAGCGGAGTGTCACGGGAGCTGTAACCCAACACGCAGAAAATAGGAAAGCCACAAAAGGTGTATCCAAAAGACGTATTACCGAGCCTTAGAGTGGTCGGACTTAACGTATTAATATAGCGAGAATCAAGGTCAAGGATACAGCAATACACGACAAAATACAAAGCCGAGGTCAAGATACCAGAAATCCCAAGGTCAATACTAAGCTGGGTCAGGATACCAGCAATCACAAGGTCAATACAAAGCTGGGTCAGGATACCAGAAATCACAAGGTCGATATGCAGCCAGGTCAGGATACCAGAAATCACGAAGTCAATACAAAGCCGAGGTCAAACACAGAAAATCACTAGGGAATCACTAGGAGCACAAAGTGAGGATCTATACAGAAACCACGATAGGGCAAAGAATATGGGCCAAAGCAAGTCTTAAATAGGCTTACCTGTGTACTGATTGGTCCATGTCATCATTGCAATTCAAAATAGATTAGGGTCGCAATGATGCCGTGGTCACTTTTAAAACAAGCGTGACGTCACCCCTACACTCTATATAAGGGAGTCCTGCCGTGTGGCCGTGTGGATCGGCTGGACCGTGTGGCAGGAGGATGTGAGTGCAGGCAGGAGTAGGGCTGCGCGGCTCGAGGGAGGTGAGTACCCTTGCCAATGCTGCGTTGAGCGGGCTGACCGTGCGGCCGGATGTAAGTATATGCAATATGCAACAATTAAAGTGTTAGTGCTTGGATGAATATGCTCACAATACAAAGCAATATGCGCCAAATGAAGATTATAATAAAGGTGACATTTCTATCCAAAAACTCCTCATATATACACACATGTGGTCTCCTCCAAATGGGCCTCTGAAGCACTAACACTTTAATTGTTTAGTTTTAACATTGTTTTTAATTGCTTTTATCACATAAATTTTGTATACTCATAATGTTCTTAAAATAGATTAATTTAATACACTTTAGCTCAGTGGTTCCCAAACTTTTTAGGTTCAAGGCGCCCTTAATATTTCAATATTTTTCCAAAGAACCCTAAGTCAAAACAACTTTCTAGGTTGTATATATGTACAGCGCTGCGGCATATACTGGGCCCCTAATCTTGGGAGTGGCACTGGTAGAATATTTAAAGAAACAATCCAGGCACAATAACCACTACATTACTTTGTAGTGGTTATCTTTGACAACTAGGGGCTGGGATAGGGGCTGTAGTGTGTGTTTGTGTGTGTGGGGGTGCAATATGTGTGTATGAGGGGTGCAATATGTGTGTGTGTGAAGGTTGCAGTGTGCGTGTGTGTGTTTGAGGGGTGCATGTGCGTGTACAGGGGTGCAGTGTGCATGTGAGGGGTGCAGTGTGTGTACAGGTGTGCATTGTGTTTGTGAAGGATGTAGTTTGTGTGTTTGTGTGTGTGAGGGGTGCAGTGTGTGTGTTTGTGGGGCAGTTTGTGCATGAGAGTACAGTGTGTGTGTGAGGGGTATACTGTGTGTGTGGGGCAGTTTGTGTGAGGGGTTCAGTGTGTGTGTGTGGGGGTTGCAGTGTGTGTGGGGGGGTGCAGACTGTGTGAAGGGTACAGTGTCTGTGTATGGGGGGAAATATGTGTGTATGGGGGTAGTGTGTGTATGGGCGGGTAATTGTGTGTATGGGATAATTATATGTATGAGGTAGTGTGTGTGTATTGGGGATAGTGTGTGTATTGGGTTTATGAGGGGGTAATTATGTGTATGGGGGTAGTGTGTATGTATGGGGGGTAGTGTGTGTATGGGGAGGTAATTGTGTGTATGGGGTGGGTAATTGTGTGTGTGTGTGTATGGGGGATAATGTGTGTGTATGGGGAGGCAGTGTGTGTGTATGGGGGGAGTTATTGTGTGGTGTGGAGTCTGTGGGGGTGGGAGGGCAAATTAATAAATTTAAAAAAATGATATCCCCCCTCCCTCCTTACCTTTGTCTGGGAGGGGGGGACATTTCCTGTAATCTCTGGTGGGGAAGCCCTGGTGATCCCAGTGGTGAAAGTGAATTCTAGCAGCCTCAGGAGCTACTAGAGTTCACTCTCGTGAGATTCGGAGCGTTGCTGTGGTAACCATGGAAACGCTCCAACCTCGCGAGAGAAGAACCCAGCAGAACTGCATGTTAGAGCTCCCCCATGCCCTCTCTTCCTCCCTCCCCTCCGGTCCTGCAGAGCTGGCAGGGGAGAGTGAGGCAGAGTTCCCGGTGCTATGATCATAGCACCGGTAAAATAACTTGCGGCTCCCCTGTGTGCCCGTAGAGCACCGTGGCACATAGTTTGGGAACCACTGCTTTAGCTTATTAAGCACTGTTTATTTGTCTCTTATATTTGGATTTAGTGTAGGACCCACCGATATTGGGGTACTGTGAAGTAGTGGTGGACTTAACACAATATGACCACATGGTGGAAGTGAATCCCCATATTTTGTCTTCTTAGATAGGCAAATTAGGTAGCCTTATATGATTATTAGTGCATTTTTATGTGTGTGCTGTAATTTAGTTTGTATCATGGAGAATCATCTAAGTCATTAGTGAACCCACCAAGTCTCCTTACTCAACTCACTAAACCAGTCTATGCATTTATCTCAATGTTCTGTTGGTGAGGTTACCAATAGATATCAAAATAATTGCCAGATGTCTGAAAATGTGTTATTGGAAAGGTGTAGTAGCATACACAGAAGCATGACAAAGCTAACCATAGCTTTTCTACAGATAATTCTAATTCTGTATCCCCCACGATGCTCAGTATGTCTACTATGTCACATGATGAAGAATTTAGTTCACCTATATCTTAGGTGCCCAGGGTGGCAATCAATGGAAATACTATGAGCTGAGTTCTATTAGCAAAAATGTTTTCCTCTGCTTATTGAAAAACTATTTTAATGTGCATACATGCTCTCATGTATGTTTTGAATGTCCTATTGATTGTGAAGACATTTGGTGGTATGCACTGTACATGATGACATATTCTCTGGTGTCTGCAAGATGTGTGATTTCGAAAAAAGCAATAATGCAATACCAAGACTGTCTCACCATATTTAGGACATTCGAGAGTTATTTTAAGTTATTATGCTGCTGTCTGTCACTGTTATAGCAATCAGATCTTCACAATTTCACAATTTTCCATAGTTGTTTATTTAAATGTGCTCACATTTAGCTCATAGCATTTAAACCTTTTTCTTTCTTTCTATGGTTAGCTATGTTCCTGGGATCAGCACTGCTATTTGTTATGCATTTTTGCTGTGAGTCATTTCTTCTGTCTTGTTTATTTTGTGTGTACATGGTTCTTTGTATTTAAAAGGACACAAGAGCCAGCAGAATCACTACGTCTGATATCTATAGATTGTCTCTGCAGGTTGAGCACTGTAAACGTTGTCTTTTCAGAGGAAAAAGCAGTGTTTACATTGCAGCCTAATTATTATTATTATTATGATATTTATAGAGCGCCGTCAAATTCCGCAGCGCTTCACAATGGGTGGACGAACAGACATGTAGTTGTAACCAGACAAGTTGGACACACAGGAACAGAGGGGTTGAGGGCCCTGCTCAATGAGCTTACATGCTAGAGGGAGTGGGGTAAAATGACACAAAAAGGTAAGGATAGTATTAGACTAGTGACAGTTGCAGAAGAGGAATCAGTCAGGAGCTATTAACAGTTTAATTGATACGCTTTTATGAAGAAGTGGGTTTTTAACGATTTTTTGAAGGAGTGGAGACTGGGTGAGCATCTAAAGGAGGAGGGAAGCAAGTTCCACAGGAACGGTGCAGCCCTCGAGAAATCTTGAAGGCGAGCATCAGAGGTGGGAGTACGGAGAGAAGATAGACGTAAGTCTTCAGCAGATCGTAAGGGCCTAGATGGGACATACTTGTGTATAAGGGAGGATAGATAGGTGGGAGCAGCATTATGTAGAGATTTCAAAGCAAGAACCAGAGTTTTAAATTGAGTTCTATATTTTATAGGAAGCCAATGTAGGGACTGACAGAAGGGTCAGGCATGGGAGGTGCGGGCGGACAGGAAGATGAATAACACCTCGAGTGGCAGTCACTCACACACTATGAGGATTTGCTGATTAGCGCATGCACGATTGATTCCCAATGCTTAGCAATGGAAGTGGAGCCAGGCAGGGCCAGCCGTGGCAATACCGCCATGGTGTGGGGAAAAGGGTGACTAAGCCCACCTTTCCCATGCTATCGGGGTGGCTGGTGACTTAAATAGTTAGCTTTACACTGTAGAGTTAGGAATACATGTTTGTATTCCTAAAACTATAATGGCCCTTTAAGTGGTAGGATTTGTGTTTTTTGCTTGTTTGTTGATTTTTTTGTTGTTTTTTTTATGGCAGGCTCTTTGTAAGGTTATCTATTCATCAAAAAAGAATTTTGTGGTAAATCTTTCAAATCTTACATTACCATCGCTATGTACTCTAACATTGCCATTGTCATTACTACCATTGCTATGTACTCTAAGTACACCATCTGCTTAGTATTTAACTCCTTAAGGACACATGACGTGTGACATGTCATGATTCCCTTTTATTCCAGAAGTTTGGACCTTAAGGGGTTAATAAATTAATTAATTTTACAAATTGGCAGGGTTATTCAACAACACATTTTCGTGAATTAAATTCTTGCTCTTGCACACCAGTAGAATAGTAAACTGTTCAAAATGTTGACAATTGACATGTTTACCATTATTTTGTATGTGGAATAAGCATTTCTTGACTTAATGTCATCTGTTAAACCAAAATATCATATTCCAATTCAAAGTTATTTTCTTAATGTCAGGGTTACTAGTTGATCCCGCATGCAGAATTGTATCACACCTAGGACTAAGGATAACGTCTAACCAGACCTTAGGATGGCCGGACTTAACATACCCAAAAATAGTCAGAATACTTGCCGAGGTCGGGGATACAGAATCAGATACGATGATGAGAAAAAGCCTAAAGTCAAGGATACAAGAAATCAGGGAAGTCAGAACGAAGCCAAAGTCAAATACCAAAATATCAAGATCAGGAACGCACTCTCGGATTACCATCAGGCAGAAATCATGACAGGGCAATGAGAGAATGTAAAAATTAGTTTAAATAGCCCTCTTGTTATTCTGATTGCCGGTAATCGGCCCTTGACCCCAAAGTGTACGCGTGATGCCTTAACCTGGGCGGCTATGGGGCTATAAATTGGCATATATCCGCAGCGGCCAGCGGCCCAAGACATGCTGGGTTTAGCAGGTTTCCGGGCGTTCGGTTGCAGATGGGCAAAACTATTCCTGTCAGGATGGTAAATACCATTAAAGACATTTCTATGAGTGGATTAATCCGTTACACCTAAGACAGGACAAAAAGAGATGCATAAGAAAGTTGCATAGATATTCAAACATTACTTGGTAGGGACATTCTTTGACCACAGACATTGTGGCATGTGGCTACGGTCCTAACTACATATCATCCAACACTTTTTTTTTCTTTCCTCTGTCTCCTCCAGCATTACAGCTATGACCTGTGGTCATTTTCAAGCCACTTAAAACATGCATTGCTATCACAATTGTACAGACGATTGAAACAGATGATAGCTAGGAGACTTTTACCTCTAGTATTGACAGCAGCTGGATTTGTGCCTTCCTATCCTCCACTATTTCTATTGAGTTAAATATTTTCTATTTTTGTCTATATCTAAAGTTTAAAATTCTTATATAGTTTTTCCCGTCAAGAAAATGATTTAATGCTATGACAAAAAATAGGAAACGTGGGTAATGTTTAGTTCTATATCCACCAATCTCAGCCCTTTTATTCTTGAAATGCTCAATAAGAGTTTGATCCTATTTAATATTTATTATTTCTTTCTTGTGAATACATTCACTTAGGCAACAACTGTGAGCGATACTGTCTCTCCTTTTCCCCTCTTTCTTCATCTCTTTTCTACTTCTTTCTCTTTTTTTCCTCCTTGGATTATTGTTTTCTCTCAGTGTTATGCGATCAGTAACTTGATTTATGGTATCATCGAGCCAGAATTCTTACTACATACCCATGTGACCTCTTTCCTCAACATTCTGGAATTGCCTGTTTTCATATGTTTAAACGGTTGCATTGTACTTTTCTTTCTTTCTTACATAGTTACATAGCTGAAAAGAGACTTGCGTCCATCAAGTTCAGCCTTCCTCACATATGTTTTTGCTGTTGATCCAAAAGAAGGCAAAAAACCTAGTGTGAAGCACTTCCAATTTTGCAACAAACTAGGAAAAAAAATCCTTCTTGACCCCAAAATAGCAGTCAGATGTCTCCTTGGATCAAGCAGCTATTACCCCACTAACTAGAAATTATATCCATGCATGTTATGTTTTTGCAAGTATTTATCCAATTTCAGTTTAAACATCTGTATAGACTCTGACAAAACCACCTCTTCAGGCAGATAATTCCATATCCTTATTGCTCTTACTGTAAAAAAAAAACCCTTTCTTTGCCTTAGATGACATCTCCTTTTTTCCAGCCTAAATGTGTGACCTTGTGTCCTATTGATAGCCCTATTTATGAGTAGATTTCCAGATAAAGGTTTGTACTGGCCCCGAATATATTTGTATAATGTTATCATATCCCCTCTCAGGTGCCGTTTTTCCAAACTAAACAGATTTAAATTTTTTAACCTTTCTTCGTAACTAAAATGCTCCATTCCTTTTATCAATTTTGTAGCTCGTCTCTGCACTTTTTCTAATACCATGATATCTTTCTTTAGAACAGGTGCCCAAAATTGCACAGCATATTCAAGGTGTGGTCTTACCAGTGATTTATAAAGAGGCAAAATTATATTTTCATCCCGAGAATTTATGCCCCTATTTTTACATGACAAAACCTTACTGGCCTTAGCAACTGCAGATTGACATTGCATATTGCTGTTTAATTTGTTGTCTATAACAATTCACAAATCCTTCTTGTGTGTGGTTATTTACTACCATTTAAGGTGTAAATTGCTTGTGTAATCTTAACCCCGTAGTGCATAACTTTGCATTTCTCTATGTTAAATTTCAGCTGCCATTTTAGTGCTCAGTCCCCCAATCTATCTAAATCCCTCTGCAGCAAAGCAATATCCTGCTCACATTTAATTACTTTACAAAGTTTTGTGTCATCTGCAAACACTGATACATGGCTTTCCATGCCTACTTCATGATCATTTATAAATATGTTAAATAAAAGCGGTCCCAAAACAGAACCCTGAGGGACACCACTTACCACTTTTGTACAGCCTGAAAATTTACCATTAATGACAATTCGTTGTACTCTATCCTTAAGCCAATGTTCTACCCAACAACAAGAATATTCATCTAGACCAATTTCTTTTAGTTTGAAGACTAACCTATTGTGAGGAACCGTATCAAATGCCTTGGCAAAATCCAAGTAGATCACATCCACTGCAAAACCCTGATCTATACTTCTACTTACTTCTTTGTAGAATGCAATTAGGTTAGTTTGACATGACCTGTGTTTCATAAAACCATGCTGGTTATTGCTAATAACAAAGTTCTTCCCAATGAATTCCTGAATATTATCCCTTAATAGCCCTTCAAATATTTTCCCAGTCACAGAGGTTAAGCTCACAGGTCTATAATTTCCAGGCAAGGATTTTGAACCCTTTTTAAATATAGGAACAACATCTGCCTTCCTCCAATCCTCTGGTACAATACCTGGAACAAAAGAATCTCGAAAAATAAATAAATACAGAGGTTTACTTATTTCCCCACTTAGCTCCTTAAGTACTCGTGGGTGAATACCATCAGGCCCCGGAGATTTATTTACATTAATTTTCTTTAATAACTGTAGCACCGTGTCTCAAGTTTCTTGCCATAGGATCCTCATTAATATATACTGAATTAAAATAGTTATTTAAAATTTCTGCTTTTTCCTGGTCTCCATTAGCTAACAAACCCATCTCTGTTACCAGTGTACCTACACTTTCATTTTTAGTTTTTTTAGAATTGATGTACTTGAAAAAAAATTTGGGGTTGGTTTTGCTTTCTTTGGCTATCAATTTCTCATTTTCTAGTTTAGCCACTTTAATTGCCTTTTTGCAAGCATTATTGGCTTCCTTATATCTTATATAGGATGCCTCTGATTTGTCCGATTTAAATGCTTTAAATGCCCTTTTCTTATTTTTAATCTCTTGTTTTACTTCTCTACTAAGCCACATTGGTTTTCATTTGTTTCTTTTATATTTATTACCCAATGGTACATACTGAGAAATGTACCTTTCTAATATTTGTTTGAATAGTTTCCATTTATCCTCAGTTTTTTTTATCACTAAGGAGTTTATTCCAGTCGATATGTTGTAGAGCTGCCTTAATCTTATTGAAATTGGCTTTTTAAAAATTATACATTTTAGTATACCCCACGTGCTTTTGCTTTTTTGAGTTTATTAAAAAAATTACCATATTGTGATCACTATTTCCCAAATGCTCCCCTTCTTGAATGTTGGTCAAAAGATCAACAATGTTTGTTATAACGAGATCCAGACAAGCATCCTTTCTAGTTGGTGCTTGTACCAGTTGTGACATAAAGGTGTAATTTAACACATTTAAAAAACTGATTCCCGTGCTGAAGTACTAGTCTCTCTATCCCAATTATTGTCCGGGTAATTAAAATCTCCAATAATTAACGTGTTACCCCGATTTGCAGCTTTCCCAATTTGCTCTAACAGCTGTTCTTCCTTATTAATATTTACATTAGGTGGTTTATAACATATTCCAATCAATAATTGATTTCCCTTTGTTTGCCCCAAGCAGATATCTACCCACAAAGCTTCCACATTTTCCTTGTCACACTCCACATGCCTAAGTTAACAGCCCAGTCATGTGTCTCATCCCACCATATTTCTGTTATGCCTATGGTTACGGTTGCCTCCAGGCTAGCTGAAAGTTGGACCATAGAAAGGATGCTCCTAGCGCTCACCAAAGGACCATCAGCACCGTTGACACCATAACTACTGCAGACTCCACGAACTGCCGCTGCTGGGCTGGGATCTCGCCCAGCCCTCTTGCACCCTCTTTCGTTTAGGTGCAAGCCATCATGACTATACAGGTTGTACCCAAGCGCAAAATCGCCCCAGTGCTCTAAAAACCCAAAACCCTCTTTCCTGCACCAAGACTTCAGCCACGCATTGACATCTCTAATCTCCCGCTGCCTTTGTGCTGTAGCGTGCGGCACAGGTAATATTTCTGAAAATATTACCTTGGAGGTCCTTTTCTTTAGCTTACTTCCTAGTTCCCTGAACTCATTCTTTAGGACCTTCCATTTTCCTCTGACTTTGTCATTGGTACCAATATGGACCATGACAGCTGGGTCATCCCCAGCCCCTCCCAATAATCTCTCCACTCTGTCGGCAACATGCCGGACCCAAGCACTCGGGAGACAGCAAACTGTCCGGTTGAGTCAATCAGAGTGGCAGATTAACCTATATACTCTCTTAATAATAGAGTCCCCTACCACCCCAACCTGTCTAAACTTCCTTACCCTCTCAACTCCACCCGTACTAGAGGGGCTGTTCCCATGGCTGTTAGAAGGAACAGCTTCCTGCAGTACAGCTATTCCTGAGTTGATGCTCCCAACATCTTCACTCAAATGGGCAAATCTGTAAGGCTGCCCAAGATCAGGAATAACTAAACCTTTCCTCTTCCCTCCCCCTCTGCTTCCTCGCCCCACTGTTACCCAGCTATGTGCCTGTTCTCCAACTGTCTCATCTCCTCCCACTCCACTACCTGCACCCACTAAACTCTGCTCAGTGAGCAGCAGACTCCTCTCAAGATTGTCAATCTCCCTCAGTGTTGCAATTTGCCTCTCCAGATCTCCAATCTGAGCTTCAAGAAAATCCACTCGCTCACACCCACCACAGAGATATGGACCCTGGACAGATTTATCCAGGCATGCATACATGCAGCACGGTGTACACTGAGTAAAACTTGTAATCTTGCTAGCACTCATCCCCAGTTACCAAAAAACACAAGGGAGCAAAAACAATATTTACCCTCTTGGTTTAAACTCCCTTGTAGGTTTCAACTCCTGTTGTTTTAACTCCTACTTAAAAGAGACTACTTTAAATAGCCTACTTTCAAGCAAACTCCAGTGAGCAAGCTCTGTGTTTCTCTTGTACTTACTTAAATCAAAAAACCCAATAAACTTTAATCAGAAAAAAGTTAATTTGGGTGTATGTTTAATCTACCCAGTCTCCCCATTTGTCATCTATATATTTTTTTTCCATTTATTAAAGTAGAAGATTCCTAAGGGTACCATGTGTTGCCCATTTTATGATTGTGAGAGAATTAGAATTTACACAACCATAACTGTTTCTAACAAAATACTGGATATAGGCCAAAGCCAAAAACTGCTCCAATGGCAGCATAGTTGGTTCAACCATCATACTATCACAAACAAATTGCGGGTTAATTCAACCACTGATCATAACCCACTTGGTAGCCAAAGACAATGGAAGTTTAAAAAAAAAGAAGTAAATTTTCACTTTTTATTTTTTTATTAACCCAATTTATTGTGAGATTGGTAATCTTTAGTTTTATAGTAGTGGCAATGTTTCATTCTGCCATGTGTTGATGTTGAATTATTGTAATAACCACCTATTTCTATGTATTTTATATTTTAGGTTTGGAAATCTAGCCTATAAATGAAGTCTTCAGTGTTTTGGAAGATCAAATTAGCTTCTATCATCTTAATTGTGTTCCTCGTTGTTGCAGCTGCTGTTATTGTGACCACTGTTCTTCTTCTTGGTAAGAAAATCAGTGTAAGGAACCAGAGACAATTTTGGGGACAGCCTCTCGCATACATTAAACCGTGCAGTTTCCTACACTATCATGGAGAGGCTGTACAATGTGTTTTGTTTTACTTATGTTTGTTTTGATTTTAAAAATTAACTCATAATGAGATCTTACCCCTCTCATCCCATTACTAGATTATGTGGGATAGGATTAATTCCCATTCATCACCCTCACTTCCTAAACCCATTGTTGGTTTTGCCATCAGATTCAACACTGTAACATAGCAGAAATGTTTGTTTTTTTGTGATTCAAATCAGAAAAATAAGATAAGTAGTTAAAATAATATAAGGCTCTTGCAACCATTGCTGCCAACCTTAAAAAAAGAGTCATCAGGTCTGTGCAGATGGCCAGCTTTACCATTAGGCAGAGTAGGCACATGCCCTGTAGGCACAACTATTTACAACACTTATAAAGTGCCTTTTTTAAATGCTTAGGTTGGTTGGTTATGGGGGATAAGTACCAGAAGCTTTTGCTTAGACCCAGTAGTCTGTTTGATAGCAGAGCTGCAGGAGCAGTTATAGAGAGTGTAAAACACACTGTTGTCCCAGCTCCTCCGGGGTCTGTGTGTGAGAATGGACAGGAAGTTGAAGGGATCACTTTACATTTGCCCACTGACAGCCTCTCACACAGGAAATGCCTTACAGGAGGGGCAGGAACAGCATTGTGTGATTATAAGAGGGCGAGTATTTTGCAAATGAATCAAACTCCACGTCTTTAACCTAACCACCCCTTTTTCTCAAACCTTAATTTTTTTTTAAAATTTGACAATTTTTTTCATTTTTTTCAGATATATTGGGGTACAGAAAAGAAGGGGTGGTTTTTTTTGGGAGAGGGAAACAGGTAGTTTTGTTCCACATATATTCACAGTTCAAACATAAGAAAAAACATTTTACATTTTATATTCCCCGAATAAACCTTATGCTGTGTTACATCTTGATGAGGGGTCAATATGTGGGAGGTCTTCCTAACCTTAAATGTAACCTCTTTCAAAACCTAATACTCATCACTTAGGCCCAAATGTAAGCACTCAAAGTGTAAACTTGAAGAAAAAATAAATCTTTATCTTAATCCAAGGTTTAACTTCCCAGACACAATACCACTGCTGATAGTATACACCACACACACACACACAACACCGAAAGCAGCCTACCCCACGCATGCAACTTCAAAAGTAGATTTCAACTGCATACAAAACCACAGACAGTCTCCCCATACACACATAGACAACACCAGCAAACAGGCATTTTTCCTGTGAGACCTCTTAAGCTTTTGTGGGGGTGTATGTCATTAGTGGTGACACAACAACCCCCCTCTGTGGCTCTGTGGCCCTGTCCCCTCATATTGGGCTGCTTTGCCTTTAAATGCCTTTTTTTGTAGCACACCTGGTTATTATCCTGCTAAAAGTGAACTTTTTTCCCACGCTCAGGTATCTTGAAGTCTGAAAATTATTTTCTACAACTGCCCTCTATTTGGCTCCACCCATCTTGTCTACCAGTTATATATTCTCATAACCTGATGTTATCTCCATCCTGTTTCATTATATATGCAGGGTTATTCACTATAGTGACTAAAGTCAAAGTGAATTTTAAATTTAAGACCAAAATAGCTGAATTGGAAGCATAGCTAACTTGGAGAGTTTTTTTCATTTGGCTATTTTAACTATTCAAGTTGAATTCCTGACAATAAATAACCCTGATGGTGTACTTTGCGTTGAATGGAGATATGGCAGGTTATACAAATACGAGTATTAATAAATGATTTCCCACAAATAAAACCTTTTATTTGTATTTAATAATATTGTATTTATTGACAGGAATAAAGTCCTCTGCGTCAAACTCCACAATTCAATATTATGATGGATCCTTTAGGATTCTTAACTTAAACTACACAAATGATTATAAAGATGATAGTAGCAGTGGATACAAGTTACTGGCTACTCAACTCCAAGGCCTGGTAAGTAACAAAAAAAAAAAAAAAGATTTACTTTTAAAAGTAAAGGTACCTTGGTAAATGTGCAAAAGTGTCCCCACAATCTGTGGCAAAACTAGCCACCAGAGACTATCAATGTATAAGGATGTGTGTATTGTTGCTAAGCCATAATAATCAATGCTATTTGTATTTCAGGCGAATGAGGGCATTCATATGCTGGCGGTATGAAAACCCCAGCATTCATAATGAAGTTTCACAAACAGTGAGTTAAACACTGTTAGTGAAATGAATAACATACCTAATGCACGACCACACACAGGGGGTCGTGTGGCACCCATTAACCGATTGCAACAATGTTGCAATCGGTAATTAAGAGTGTTTCTAGGTGGCCGTCGTTCGAATAACGATTACGCAGCGGTCGGCCATCTTGTTTCTTTTGTTAGCCCAGCGGTGTTTTGTCGTCGAGCGCTTGGAACTAAAAACGGCTTCTCGACGGCGCGAACACCGCGGGACTTCCAGGCCGTTCGGGAACCTCGGCCGTTCGGTAATTTATTCCCCTTACGATAATCGGTATTTTAAAACCTATGTTAAAAATTATGTGTATTTCGTACGGCGTTCGGTTAGTTAGACTGGGAGCTGAGCGGTATTCTCACGAATGATGCGCTCAGCCTCCAGCTATCTACCGAACGCCAATTCGTGTAAAACTAGTGAATATTGTTAAAGTTATGTATTTTAATGTAAAATGTGAGTTCTGCTGCACGGAGGGATAATCCCATTAACGGTATATTCCAGTGGGAGTATCCCTCTCGTCCAGCAGTGTATGATGGGAAAATTGTGTGTTGGTCAGTTCCCCATGTAGTCCCCTACTGTACAACCCCTGAAATGTCAGTAGGGAAACCCCTTGCATGGGGAATCCCATAAATACCGTGACCTGAAAATAAACCTCAGTTGACCTCCAAGCTATGTGTCGTCTAGTTCTTGGGAGGAAGGGATTGTAACTACGCTACCTGGATTTTACCTGCTTTGTGCCTGCTTGATTCTGTCTACCAGCGGAGATACCGTGGATAATACTACTACTCCGCTACACAATCATTTCTGTTATTAACTGGCAGAGTTATAATATTTTACAGGGTTTTCTCTAAAGTGAGAAATGCTGGGAATGCAAAATAAATTCTAAGTGAATTTCAGAATGTTGGCAAAAATATCCAAATTATAAAAATTGTCTGTTTGTTATTTTTTTATTTTGGCTATTTTGGCTTAAAGCTTAAAATTCCCTTTGAATTATTGCCAGTTCCCATTCTAGTGAAACCCTGCTAACAGTGCTTCAAGGGTTACTCCAATAATAATATCCAGTAGAGTCCCCTGTTGTGGTTATGATGCCATGAAAACCCTGGCCCGGTTCCCTGGCAGTGGGGTAAACAGTGTAGCAATAGTTTGGATTCTTTTCTGGGCCCTGATGGCATCCGAGCCTTGTGTTTAGCACTGGTGACACGCTTCCAGTGTCTTCAGAGCTGACTTTTCAGCCAATGAATGGCACACTGTGTCTTATACCTGGTCTGCCTGACCCTCACTGTACCCCAGGGAAGTCACCCATATAGCCAGATATACACACACAACTGCAGAAGAAGCTTCCCCTAATTGCAAATACTATAAACAGCCCCCACAAACACAACACTGCTGACAACCCACATTCGTGCACACAGTCCCTCCCCCACACAATACCACAATATGTAGGGTACACACACAATATGACAGGCAAAAGCCTGAGTTAAAATGTATCTGGCCTCAGAATTGCAAGGAACTCAGAGCTCCATCAGCTGATCTACTGCCCTAAGCAAAAGGTAGCCTTCTGGAGGACCATATGAAGACTTAATCCTGTGTAGCATGATTTCATTATATTTTACACACACTGTACTTTTCATTTCCCACTTTGTAACTGCAACCTGTATTAGACATACTTTGTATATACTGGGCATATTGCATATTTTGTCACCTTTATGTCTTGTCTGTTATGCTTAAGTTTAGTTTTCTCTCCCTCCAATGTACCTTTTAACCAATCTCCCCTGCCTCTGCCTTATTTTTTCCTTCCTTTAAAGTTCACACTTTTTTGTCTTCTTAAACAACTTCTTCAAGAATTGCCATCATTTATCGCCCCCCTCCAGATGTCCTAGACTATTAATTGAACACCTTTCTTCCTGGCTACCTCACTTCCTCTCCTCTAGCATTCCTTACCTTACGTTTAGGGACTTTAATATCCCAATCAACAACCCTAACTGCCCTGATGTCTCTCGACTGCTCTCTGTAACCTCCTCCTGTGGTCTCACACAATTGTCGAACACAGCAACTCGTACAGCGAGAAAAACTCTTGACCAAGCGCTGTACTGCCTCTAATCTCTCCAATGTTCCATTTCCATTTCCCACCATCTGCTGAACTTTGACATCGGCATAACCCATGGCACAAAATGCTGGACTGGTTCTGGGACCCAAAACATTGGATTATTCAAGCAAAAACTGGATAGTTGGCAACTATGCCCTTAGAATGTAAACCCATTTGAGCAGGGCCCACACCACCTTCTATTCCTGTACTCTGTGTTTATTATTCCACCCATTGAATTGAACTTAACTTGTTTGGACCACACAAGCATTCTGCTAAGCTATGATTAGTTTTTACCTAGATTGAGCAGAGCTTGAAGTTGGAACCTTACCTTTCAATATATTTTGCAGATGTGAGGCTTAGTCAATTGCTCATTTTTATAATTTGAGCTAGTACATCTTTAGGCTGAAATAGTGCTTTGAACGTTTAACTTACTTGCAGTGAACTTTTTCTGTCATTTTCAGATTGCAGTTTCATAGACATATTTGGACTTGGCCTCTGATGCATTTTTTAAGTGTATTTGTGTTACAAGTGTCCAATTGAATCTGTATGTCTTCTTTTAAATAACAGTTAACATCCACATTTGAAAACTCATCTCTTAAGAGTCAGTACACCAAGTGTGAAGTGATAAACTTAAGGCAAGTAATATTTATTCAATGATTGTACAGCATACGCTATCAAGAACTAAAATACTTATCTATCAATTACCGGGAATTAAATGTTTGTATCCATCACACCTGTTATAAAAAAAATAAACTCATGTAGCTATCACACCTGTTTCTAAGGATTAAACATACAAATCAATTAAATGTATGTGTATACCTTCTTTTGTTCACTCCTGTTAAAAGGACACTCTGCACCAGAGGTACCCAAAATGTAGATCCACAGATGTTTTAAAACTACAACTTCCATGCTGCTGTCCCATTCTAAAGGCATTCCAATCATCATCTAAAGGCATGCAAAGCATCAAGGGAATTGTAGTTCTACAACATCTGGGAATCTACCTTTTGGGCACCTTTGCTCAATACCCTGTAACCACATAATTTTATTAAGGGAGTTCCCTGACATTGTACCTCCACTTAGTGTTAAACTACAGTCTATCACAGTAGCCCATTGCATTATGAATTGGTATGGCTAAGGAAAAGTGTTATCACTACCTTAGCCAAACCCGGTGGAGACTAGGCTGTAGACAGCAAGATACCCCCATTCAGTGTTAAACTGTTCAAAAACAGTACAACAATGATTGTAGGGATGGTGTCAGGTGCCACAACCACCTCAATGAAATTAAGTGTTTATAGTGTTTGAGAGTCCCTTTAACAATGACTACATAATGCATTTATTGCATCTCCTTCCAAAGATGGCATATTTGTATCTATGACACCTGCTCCCAACGAACAGACATATTTGCCTATTATACATGTTACCAAAACATATAAAGCCATCAAAAATCATAGCCAAGTATGAAATATATTTAGCTAACAAAATCTGTTACCAGTGATTATACTGGCACTGCTTGTGGGGTCTTTGCATTGGTACCCAAAATACTAGTTCTTTTAAAGAACCAGCTTTGCCTCTGATTCCGGTAATGACACAGGGTATGCACCAACTTATGATCTCATACTAAAAACCACTGCAGCAATAATTTTAAAATTCCGTATAAGTAGCAACTATGAGCATAAGGGAAGCAGACAGTTCATTTGGATTCAGTGTGTCTGAAAATACATGAATAATATAAAATATGATGTAATACATTGACAATTTTTAAAGCAATTTTTAAGGCATACTTTACTTGTTGTTTTGCAGGCCTGGAAGTGTTATAGTAGACTTTGTGTTGCAATTTACGACTACCAACCAGGGGACCACATTTCCAACAACTGACTTAGTTCATAAGATCTTCATAGAGAACTTTGCAAATAGCTCTTGGTCTAGTTTCATGGTTGATGCAGGCTCATTTAATATCTCATGTAAGTCATGTAAATCCTTCATTCTCTGTGTGATGCTATAGTATTACTATTATAAATATTATTCCTAAAAGTGACATAGCTTGTGAATATACAGGCATAAATGTTTCCAATGACCTAATATAAGACACTTATTGAAAATAAACTCCTGTATTGAACAAATATAATACAGTTGCAAGAAAAAGTATGTGAACCCTTTGGAATGATATGGATTTCTGCACAAATTGGTCATAAATGTGATCTGATCATCATCTAAATGTGAATGTTTACATGGTGTGTTCAATAAAAACATGGCAACATTTCATTCTTTGTGTGTTATTAGTTTAAGCAGACTGTGATTGTCTATTGTTGTGACTTAGATGATGATCAGATCACATTTTATGACCAATTTGTGCAGAAATCCATATCATTCCAAAGGGTTCACATACTTTTCCTTGCAACTGTATATTTATAGACAGTTGAATGTGCAACCATTACTAAAAATAAATATATTCCATTTTTTAAATGGAGACAATTCAATTGGTCAGTTTTCCTATATTACAATGTGTTCACACACCAAAAGGGTTTGTTGACCAAACACTTAATTTTGGTGAATAGGGAGCAGATCTAGCTAGTTTTAGGTCAACATGGCTGTATTGAAAAGTTTTCTTACCTTGTTATCTGCTCTTCATTTTGCAATGTCAGTTTTCAAATTCATACAGTTTACCAATTAGAGAATGACAAGTGTTAAACTAGTTTTTGAATGGATAATTTTTAAACAATCAACAAAATATAATCCCACAAAGAGCAACTGCAATTCTTATATTCACGCGTTTTTAAGAGTTAACCCCTGTTGTTGAATTGATGCAATTTAATGTCCATATATTAAGATTCATACATTGCAGTGTTCCCTTTTCAAAGGATTTAGATTTTTTTCACTGCCATACTAATTAGGAACACTCCACACTAAACCTCTTGGAAAAAAAAAAAATCACCATATGGTAGATATACTCCCCCAATGAATACATACATGCATTTCCAATACATGTATTCATTCAGGGTATATCTTAAAAGAGCCTGCAAAAAATTCCTGCTTGTGCGCACATGCTTGCACGCGCATGCTTGATTGGTTGTGCATGCGCGCACACTTCACAGCATTCAGAAATAACATTGGCCTGATCTGATGTCTGAGAAGGAGGTATGTAGGGGCAGGCAGGCCCATTCTAGGAAAGCGCACCTGCCACTTCTGTTAGCTCATGGGGGCTAACAGAAGAAGGTAGCAAACCTCCCTGGTTGTTTGATTGACGTTTTATAAAGTTCCTCTTTAATGGGATTCTCCTCACCCATGGAGCACTTCAGCAAGCTGGTGTGGAGTAGTCTTTTAACTATATATGCCTTGGGATTTCTTGAAAAGTACATTCATTCTGTGGCAATGTGTAACAAGGGGGAGTAACAAGGTTCAATTATAAAAGTGCCAATTGCAATTGGAATATGTACCTTAAGTAAAATGAAAAAAATAAATACAAAATAATAGGACACAGTCTTCATACATAAAGCACTTCAACAATTTTGAACGCTTTATGTGTTTTATAGTAATCCTTTTAACTCGGTTAATTGATAGCAGTTCTATAACTGATTGCTTTGGCAAAAATTGCCATTTTATTATATAAAATAAATATGTATATATTGCATATGTAGCCCTCAGCTTTAACCCCTTAAGGACCAAACTTCTGGAATAAAAGGGAATCATGACATGTCACACATGTCATGTGTCCTTAAGGGGTTAACAGCTTTTTTCCTCCCATCTGTGTGACTCATCGTTATGATTCCTCTTTCAGCTATATCTGGAAGCGATGCTTATAATCTTCTAAATAACGGTAAGTTGTTTCTTTTTTTATTGTACGTTAAATTGCACAAGATTATTTGGTTGAAAATGTGTTGTGTTGAAAGGCATTGTAGTAGCTTTCGGTATTCTATAGTATTCCTTTAACTGTTTAACGGTTCTCCTATTGATTGCTTTGTCAAAAATTGCCACTTTGTCATAAGAAATATTTGTATTTCTTATAATAGAATCTAGCCCTGAGCTTTAAAAGCTTTATTTTCCATCTGTGTGACTCATCGTTTTGATTCCTCTTTCAGTTATCTCTGCTACCGCTGGTTATAATAATGGTAAGTTATTTATTTTTTCAATTTATAATACATTGTAAAAGATCATTTATGTGAAAAATGTGTCGTGTTGAAAGGCATTGTGAGTATTGTGTAGCTGAATGCTATATTCAATATTATTGTTAGGTTTATTTGTCAATGTTTAGCACTGATTTGTGAAGCAGCACTGCACGTGTCTCTGCAGGCACTGAAGGGTTAAAATAAGTGCCTTTCTGTCACGGATTATAACCTTAACACGCAGAGTTTAGTATAGCAAGGAACGGACAAAGGAAATATAAACATGTCACCGGGCCTTAGAGTGGCCGGACTAAATGTTTGATAGAGGAAAGAGCAGTCGAAAATACAAGTCAAAGTCAGGGTAACGGAGAGACAGTGAAAACGAGAACTAGCCATAGTCAGTTACATGGTAACAATCAGAAGGGAAAACAAGATAGGCAAGGGTTAAAAGAGAGTCAGGAAACAAAGCCAAGGTCAATACCAGAATACAATACTATATCACAAGGCACACACTAATGGGTACAGAAACCACAATATGGCACAAAATCTAGGGCCAGGTAAGTTTAAATATGTTTAGGTTTAATTTGATTGGTCCAAATCATGCCTGCGCTCCAAAACGTGCGTGAATGGGGGCGCCAAAATTAAGTGGGCCAATTGGAGCCAACCGCAAGGTTAGGCTCCCATTTCCCCTTTAAAAACATGCTCATAACGCTAATACTAATACTGTACGCAGTGGCGTACACATGACCCATGGGACCCCGGTGCGAAAATTGATCCGTGGCCCCCCCGCGCGCTTACTCGGCGCGGGTTGGGGCCGCAACACATGGCGGCAGGCACCTGGTCGCAGGGCTGCGACCCCGCGACCGCGGTATGCAAATACACTTAAAGGACCACTACAGACACCCAGATCACATCAGCTCAATGAAGTGGTCTGGGTGCCAGGTCCCTCTAGTTCTAACCCTGCAGCTGAAAACATAGCCGTTTCAGAGAAACGGCTATGTTTCACTGAGGGTTAATCCAGCCTCTGGTGGCTGTCTCATTGACAGCTGCTAGAGGAGCTTCCGCGATTCTCACTGTGAAAGTCACAGTGAGAAGACACTCAACGTCCATAGGAAAGCATTGAGTAATGCTTTCCTCTAGGCGGTTTAAATGCTTGCGTGCGCCTCTTGCCGCGCATGTGCATTCGGAGCTGAGAGGCGGAGGGATCCCCAGCGCCAAGGGAGTCCGACGCTGGAGAAAGGTAAATGCTGAAGACACACACACTCTCACGAACAGACGCATACACACTAGCTAACAGACACACACATTTACTGACAGAGACACACTCAGCGACAGACATACATACACACTAACTTACAAAACATACACTTTCACTGACAAACACACACTCACTAACAGACATCAAACACACTCAGTAACACACTCACTAGCAGAAACACACCCAATAACAGACACACTCACACTAACACAAACAAACAAACACACTAACACACAAACACACACTAACACAAACAAACACACTAACACAAACACACACTAACACACAAACACACACACTAACACACACACACACACACTAACACACACTAACACACACACACACTTACACACACACAAATAAATTTCTTTTTTAAATTTAATCCCCCCAGCCTCCTTACCTTTTGGAGTGCTGGGGGGATTCCCTAGGGTCCAGTGGTGGTGCTGCTGGGCTCCTGGGGCTCCTGGGTGACCGGCGCGCGAGGGAGCACTCTGCTCTGAGTGCTTCCTCTTCCGCTCCCTTGCGCACCGCACTGATACCGGAACCGGAAGATGACGTCATCTTCCGGCTCCGGCATCCCTATGCGGCGCGCGAGGGAGCGGAAGAGGAAGCACTCAGAGCAGAGTGCTCCCTCGCGAGCCCTCCTGCCTGCCTGCCCGGTGTCAGCAGGGCCAGCCTCGGGGGGCCCTGAGGTGGCCGGCTCCTGGGCCCCCCAGGAGAAGAGGCTGGCCCTGTGGGTACATACGACCCTGGTATGTACGCCACTGACTGTACGGGCTGCGCACCTGACCAGACTGTTCGGCGCGCAGCCCGCCAGGAGTGTTCGAGCAGCATGCAACTCGTCTGGAGACAGGAGTGCTCGAGCCGATTGTGGCTCCATCAGAGGACCCCTGCCGGCACACGGACCGTTTAAGTACCGTTACACTTTTAGAGATGTACTTAGGTTACATGGCATCCAGGGTGGAAATGTATTTTGGCACCTGGTACCCCTCCTGTGCTGTATAAGTTTGTTTGTGTCTCAGCACCCCAGCCCCGTTTTAGGGAAATTACATGCAAATACACCCATTCATCTCACATACACTTACATTCGCATACAGATATGCATTCTTATATACGTACAGGGACATGCACATTAATACATATACACTCAGACTCATCAACACACACGGACACATATACACACACAGACTTTGTTATTTCATTACTAATTTCTGCATAATATAGTGGTAAACTTTATTAATTTGTATTCTGCAGAGTACAGCAATACTCCACATAAGTAACTATGTCAAATTTTTAATGATAATGCAGGGTCAATTTGGAATCATGCTCTGATTTTGACATGCATTTTTGCTTGCCTCCTAGATAAGTTATTTGTTTAAATGACACTACAGGGAGTGCAGAATTATTAGGCAAGTCCTATTTTTGAGGATTAATTTTATTATTGAACAACAACCATGTTCTCAATGAACCCAAAAAACTCATTAATATCAAAGCTGAATATTTTTGGAAGTAGTTTTTAGTTTGTTTTTAGTTATAGCTATGTTAAGGGGATATCTGTGTGTGCAGGTGACTATTACTGTGCATAATTATAAGGCAACTTAACAAAAAACAAATATATACCCATTTCAATTATTTATTATTACCATTGAAACCAATATAACATCTCAACATTCACAAATATACATTTCTGACATTCAAAAACAAAACAAAAACAAATCAGTGACCAATATAGCCACCTTTCTTTGCAAGGACACTCAAAAGCCTGCCATCCATGGATTCTGTCAGTGTTTTGATCTGTTCACCATCAACATTGCGTGCAGCAGCAACCACAGCCTCCCAGACACTGTTCAGAGAGGTGTACTGTTTTCCCTCCTTGTAAATCTCACATTTGATGATGGACCACAGGTTCTCAATGGGGTTCAGATCAGGTGAACAAGGAGGCCATGTCATTAGATTTTCTTCTTTTATACCCTTTCTTGCCAGCCACGCTGTGGAGTACTTGGACGCGTGTGATGGAGCATTGTCCTGCATGAAAATCATGTTTTTCTTGAAGGATGCAGACTTCTTCCTGTACCACTGCTTGAAGAAGGTGTCTTCCAGGAACTGGCAGTAGGACTGGGAGTTGAGCTTGACTCCATCCTCAACCCGAAAAGGCCCCACAAGCTCATCTTTGATGATACCAGCCCAAACCAGTACTCCACCTCCACCTTGCTGGCCTCTGAGTCGGACTGGAGCTCTCTGCCCTTTACCAATCCAGCCACGGGCCCATCCATCTGGCCCATCAAGACTCACTCTCATTTCATCAGTCCATAAAACCTTAGAAAAATCAGTCTTGAGATATTTCTTGGCCCAGTCTTGACGTTTCAGCTTGTGTGTCTTGTTCAGTGGTGGTCGTCTTTCAGCCTTTCTTACCTTGGCCATGTCTCTGAGTATTGCACACCTTGTGCTTTTGGGCACTCCAGTGATGTTGCAGCTCTGAAATATGGCCAAACTGGTGGCAAGTGGCATCGTGGCAGCTGCACGCTTGACTTTTCTCAGTTCATGGGCAGTTATTTTGCGCCTTGGTTTTTCCACACGCTTCTTGCGACCCTGTTGACTATTTTGAATGAAACGCTTGATTGTTCGATGATCACGCTTCAGAAGCTTTGCAATTTTAAGAGTGCTGCATCCCTCTGCAAGATATCTCACTATTTTTGACTTTTCTGAGCCTGTCAAGTCCTTCTTTTGACCCATTTTGCCAAAGGAAAGGAAGTTGCCTAATAATTATGCACACCTGATATAGGGTGTTGATGTCATTAGACCACACCCCTTCTCATTACAGAGATGCACATCACCTAATATGCTTAATTGGTAGTAGGCTTTCGAGCCTATACAGCTTGGAGTAAGACAACATGCATAAAGAGGATGATGTGGTCAAAATACTCATTTGCCTAATAATTCTGCACTCCCTGTATACTGACTGTAAAACTTTGCCTAAACTCTAACTCAATGTATCTAACCAAAACTAACCTTAACCATAGCCCGAGCTAATCCTAACTATGTGCTGCTTAGTAAATTGGCTTCCAGGTTCAGTGATCACTGCAAGAGCCAATGACACTGCCTTAACTTAGATAATGTAAGTGATTACTGCAATTGACTACCATAGCTGACACAGAGGCTGAAAGTTAGTCTGTCACAGTTGCTCTATGTGTTATTAGTGAGGCAGCCAACAATATCCCCATCCATGACAATTTCTGTGTGTACCAGGTACTGAGACTACCTGAAGCACTGCAGACTTGACAGACATGTCGAGACAGATTTTCAAACTGTCTGCAAACATATTTCTGGATGTCTCAAGCTTGAGACATCCAAAAATAGCTGTGTACTTGCCACAATTGGCACTCAACACTACCTTAATCCAGTGAGCATCCTATCACTTTGGAATGCTAGCAAATGTACAGTGTACGCCGTTTGGTCACCAAGAGCACAGGTGACCAAGATTTACATTGTACCGTACATCTCTAATTACTAAGGGGTTAAAGACAAGCTCACACTTTGATGCATATACTCTCTTTATAGGAACTAAAGAGGTTTTTTTTTACGACGGTTATACTATTAAAGGACCACTCTAGGCACCCAGACCACTTCAGCTTAATGAAGTGGTCTGGGTGCCAGGTCCTTCTAGGGTTAACCCATTTTTTCATAATTATAGCAGTTTCAGAGAAACTGCTATAATTATGAATGGGTTAAGCCTTCCCTCAAAGCCTCTAGTGGCTGTCTCATTGACAGCCACTAGAGGCGCTTGCGTGCTTCTCACTGTGATTTTCACAGTGAGAGCACGCCAGCGTCCATAGGAAAGCATTGTAAATGCTTTCCTATGAGACCGGCTGAATGCGCCACAGCAGGCCTTTGCCGCTACAAGTAAGCGCATTCAGCCGGGCGGGCGAACGGGAGGCGAGAGGAGGAGGAGAGCTCTCCCGCCCAGCGCTGGAAAAAGGTAAGTTTAAACCCCTTTCCCCCTTCCAGAGCCGGGCGGGAGGGGGTCCCTGAGGGTGGGGGCACCCTCAGGGCACTATAGTGCCAGGAAAACGAGTATGTTTTCCTGGCACTATAGTGGTCCTTTAATAGATTTTAAGCATACCAACTTAAATAGGGAAATATATCTGAGTTACAAAAGAAAAACTAGACTAAAACACAAAGAGTTGTTAATTCTTTTTTTTTTTGTCTGCAAGCACTTTGCTGTTGACATTGAATAGCTAAAGCCATAGAATGGTATGAAAACATTATTCCATAAGGGTATTTAGATAGAACAATGCGGGTTCTCTAAAAATAACTAGTGTTATGAAAGCAAACAGGTTCCCTTCATACAATGTGATATGAACAAACAATGTAGACACGCCTGTTCAATTCGATTAACTAAAAAAAAGAATTTTCCAAACATAAATTGATACAGTATAGGAACATACTTTGAAAATTATAAAAAAAATATTTAATTAATTTTCCATGATATTGAAATGGACATGTTCCCTTGACAAAGGCGTATTTGCCAAATCTTTGATATCCATTGCCTCTCACATCTTCTGAGCATATTATTCGCTTTTGCTTTAGGTATTTGTGAATATTCATTTTTGTGCTTTAATGAATTACTGTTGTTTTTTTATTTGATCTATATATATTGATCACATAGTGGTGAATGCTTTTGTGACTATTTAACACATTGTATTGTTTATGAACACAGTCCTATAGACTGTATAGTGCATTGGGTGACTTACTTAATCTTTGTTGTATAAGCACATATATACTTTTGTGAATATTGTATTAATAAATTTACTTTTTTGCATTTTATGGGATGTGCGCCTCAATTTATTTGTGATAATTATTCTTGCCTCTATTGGGAATAGAGTAGTTTGAGTGAGCATCACTTTTTTTTGTTTTTGTAAACCTATGTGTTTTTGCTTTTAATGTGTGCCCCCCTTGTTGATTTTCCTTTATTTAAATTGATGCAGATGTTTTGCTGATATCAGATTATCCTACCTCAGAGGCTTCCATTCCAAAATCATGAACAGAATGCCACATGGGTTAAAAAACATTTTTTCCCCCATTCCATATATGGTCACTTATCCTGTCCTCCTCTTTCACTGAAAGCCATGATCGCAACTAAAGGGTAAAAAGGCCAAAACATATGTTTTGTTGTTTAAAGAAGATGGATTATGCAGCAATGTATGTTTTTTTGTTGTTTGTTTTTTGACAATCTTTATTTTGACTTTTAGCATGGGTACAGCGTGTCAGTTTTTGAACAGAATAGAGTACAAAGTATCAACTTATAAGGTATAGAATACCCAACAGGATTAAAACAGTATTTAAACACATCAAACCACGTAGGATCTTAGAACAGTCAACATGTTACAACGGGTGAAGACAAGATGATGGCATTGTAGTGTAAGGCCGGTTCTTGAGCGCATTATGGTCGGGTGCAGTGGTCATTGTCTCTCTAGAGACCTATTCTGTTGTAGGGCAAACAAGGTCGTGGTTCCCTGGCTTCTGGGAGCGTACCAGTAAGCTGATGTAGTCACAGTCAACTGTCCAGGGAATTAAGCGGGGGCCAGTTTGTCAGAGGTCCACTCATGGCTACATTGACGAATGTCTGCAGCCAAGAGGGTCACCAGAGAGGTCGGGTCTCGGTCAACCGTCCGTCTTTGAGTCTAGGCTGGTGGGTGAAGAGGGGGGGATGTAGGAAGGAGAGGGGGGGTGGGTGGGACGGGGGGTTCCCGGCTCCCCGCCCCGCCCGCCGAGAGGTACCACAGCCAGGGCGTCCAAGTGCGAGTACATTTCTCTTGCCTATCGTATGACGCTGCAGTGAGGGATTCCATGTTGTATAGTTCCCCCACCTTGTCAATCCACTGCCAGAGCGTGGGTGCATCCCTGCGTCTCCACCTTGTAGGGACCAGTGCAATGGCTGCTGTCAGTAGGTGTTTTATTAGAGAATTCTTGTATACTGATAGGGTCATGTCAGTGTGATGGAGGAGCATGGTGAGGGGTTGTAGTGGAAGGGCAATGTCTGTGATTTGCTTAATGGACTCTTGGATCAGTGTCCAGAAGGGGGCGATGCCGGGGCAGCTCCACCAGATGTGGAGGGCGGAGCCATCGGCATCGCCACATCTCCAACAATCTCCGGGTATCTCTGGGTTTATACGGTGCAGAATATCTGGGGTTCTATACCAGTGTGTGAGGATCTTAAAACTGGTCTCCTGAAGTTTGGAGCTGATGGAACATTTATGTGTTAGAATGAAAATCTTGTCCC